ATATACACAGACACATACACAAAAGAAGAAAATAATGACAAAAGCATGTAGGGATGAGTAAAAATGACAGTGATTTTAGAATGCATTTAAACTTAAGCAACCATAAACTTAAAATAGACTGCTATAAACATAGCTTGGTATGTATGAAGCACATGGTAACTACAAACCAAAAATCTACAAGAGATATACAAGAAATAAAGAGAAAGAATCCAAATACAACACTATGGAAAGTCATCAACATACAAGAGAGAAGAGCAAGAGAATATAAAAGGAACTGAGAAAACTACAAAAAAACCAACAGAAAACAATAAAATGGCAGTATCAACATAACTATCAATAATTAATTTAAATGTAAGTAGACTAAATACTCCAATCAAAAGACATAGTGTGGGTGAATGGATAATATAACAAGACCCATACATATGCTGCCTACAAGGGACCCACTTCAGATTGAAAGATACAAATAGAATGAAAGTAAAGAGATGGAAAGAGCTATTTCTTGCAATTGGAAATGAAAAAGCTGGGATACCGATAATTATATCAGACAAAATAAACTTTAAAACAAGGGCTGTAACAAGAGACAAAAAAAAGGCATTCCATAATGATAAAGAGATTAATTCAACAAAAAGGTGTAACTCTTGTGAACTTCTACGAATGTAAAATAGTTGCATCTAAGTATATAGTAAATATAAAGAAGATGAAGGGAGATATCAACAGTAATAAAGTAATAGTAATGGACTTAAACATCCCATTGATGTCAATAGATAGTCATCCGCACAGAAAATCTACAAGGAAACAGTGGCCTTAAATGACACATCATACCAGAGGACTTAACTAATATTTTTAGGACACTTCACCCAAAATCATAATATACATTCTTTTTAAGTGCACACAGAACATTTTCCAGGATAGATCAAATGTTAAGCCTCAATATAAGTCTCAATAAATTGAAGACTTAAGTCCAATGAAGCATCTTCTATCACAGTGGTATGCAACTAGAAATCAATTACAAGAAAAAACCTGAAAAACACAAATATGTGGAAAATAAATAATATGTTACTAAGCAGTGAATAACATGCTGCTAAACAATGAGATCAAGGAATAAATCAAAAGATACCTGGAGACAGATGAAAATACAATAACCCCAAACTCTATGGAACACAGCCAAAGTAGTTTCTAAGAGGGAAATATATAGCAATATAGGCCTACCTCAGGAAACATGAACAATCTCAAATAAACAATCCAACATTACAACTGAAGGAACTAGAAAAGGATGAACAAACAAAGCCCAAAGTGAGTAGAAGGAAGGAAATAACAAAGAGTACAGTGGAAATAATTTAAAGAGTCTAAAAAGAAAACCAATATAAAGAGGTTTGAAAAGACTAATAAAATCGATAAACTTTTAACCAGACTCACTAAGAAAAGGAGAGAAGACCCAAATAAATAACATCAGAATTGAGAAAGGTGACAACAGACACTACAGAAATACAGAGGATTATGAGAAAAGACTGAGGTTATATTCCAACAAATTGGACAACCTGGAAGAAACAAATTCCTAGAAAAGTACAATCCTCGAAGACAGAAAAATCTATGCAGACTGATATCTACTATGAAATCAGTGATCTAGAAACTCCCTACAATTAAAAACCTGAATGACTTGTGAGCTTCACAGGTAAATTTTCCAAACTTACAAAAAATAAAATAATATTAATTCCCGTCCTTCCCAAACTATTCCAAAAAAAAAAACAAAAAAAAAAAACTGAAGAGAAAGGAAGGCTCCCAAACTCATTTAGGAGACCAGAATTACCCTGATACCAAAACCAGACAAAGACCCTTCAAAAAATATATAAGCCAATTATCCCAGAAGAACATAGATGAAAAAATCTTCAATAAACTATTAGCTAACCAAATTCAGCAATACATTGAAAGGACCATACGCCATGATCAACTGAGATATGTTCCTGGGATACAAGGGAGTTCAGATAGATTCGCAAGTCAATTAACATGATAAACCACATAAAAACGAAGGACAAAACTTATAAGATCATATTGACTGATGTAGAAAAAAGCTTTTGACAAAATACAACATTCTTTCATGACAAAAACTCTCAGCAAAGTGGGGATAAAGGGAACATACCTCAACATAATAAAGGTCAGGTATGACAAACACAGCTAACATCATACTCAAAGAGTTTTCTTTAAGATCAGGAACAAACAAGGATGCTTACTTTCACCACTTTTATTGGATGTCTTAGCTACAGCAATCAGAGAGTCAATCAATCAATTAATCAATAATTAGTATCTGAATTGGAAAGGAATAAGTAAAACTGCCATTATTTGCAGATGACATGATACTTTATATAGAGAACTCTAAAGATTACACACACACACACACACACACAAACTAGCAGAGTTAATAAATTTAGTAAAAAAGTAGAATTCAAAATTAAGATTCAGAAATTGGTTGCATTTTCATACACCAATGACAAAGTATCAGAAATAAAAATTAAGAAAACAATCCAATTTACAATTACATCAAAAAGAATAAAGTACTGCTCTTTCTCTCCAGGCAGGCGACGGAGGCGGCTTGTTCAGCAATGGCCAAAATTAAGGCTGGAGACCTCGTGGCAAGAAAAAGGAGGAGTTGCTCAAACAGCTGGACGACCTGAAGGTGGAGCTGTCCCAGCTGTGCTCACCAGTGACAGGCGGCGCGGCTTCCAAACTTTCTAAGATCCGAGTTGTTCGCCAATCTATTGCCCATGTTCTTACCATCATTAACCAGACTCAGAAAGAGAACCTCAGGAAATTCTACAAGGGCAAGAGTACAAACCCTTGGATCTGCAACCCAAGAAAACACACGCCATGTGCTACCAGCTCAACAAGCATGAAGAAAACCTGAAAACCAAGCAGCAGCAGCAGCGGAAGGAGTAACTATCCCCACTGCGGGAGTATGCGGTCAACACCTGTGCATCATGAGTCAATAAAGCACAAACTGGCTGACAAAAAAAAGAATAAAGTACCTAAGAATAAATTTAGCTAAGGAGGTAAAAGACCCGTTCTCAGAAAACTATAAGGCAACAAAGAACAAAACTGAAGAAAATAAAAATAAGTGGAAGCTTTACTATGCCCATGGATAGAAAGAATGGACATCATTCAAATGTCCATACTATCCAAAGCAATCTGTAGATTCAATGCAACTGCTATGAAAATACCAGTGGCATTTTTCACAGAACTGAAAAAAATAATCTTAAAATTTATATGGAACCACAAAAGATCTTGAATAGCCAAAGAAATCTTGAGAACAAAGATGGGGGTAATATGCTACCAGATACCAATCTATATACTACATGGCTATATAATCAAAACAGCATGGCACTGGCATAAAAACAGACATAAATCAATGGAACAGAATAAAGAGTCCAGAAATAAACTCATGCCTTTGTGATCAATTAATCTATGACAAAGGAAGCAAATATATACAGTGGGGTTAAAATAGTCTATTCAATAAATAGTATTGGGAAAACTACTTGCAAACAAATGAAACTGGACCACTTTCTTCACCATATATAAAAATAAACTCAAAATGGATTAAAGCCTTCAATGTAAGACCTAAAACCATAAAATCCCTTGAAGAAAACATAAGCAATGAACTTCATGACACTGAACTTAGCAATAATTTTTTTGAGTATGTCTCCTCAGGCTAGGGAAACAAAAGAAAAGCAAATAGGACTTCATCAAACTGAAAAGTTTCTGCACAGGGAAGGAAACCATCAACCTAGTGAAAAGACAACTTACTGAATAGCAATATATATTCACCAACAATATACTTGATAAGGAGTTAACAGCCAAAATATGTAAGAAATTCATATAATTCAACACACACACATACCAGATTTAAAACTGAGCAGAGGACCTGAAAGGAACCTAATCCTTCTTTCACAAATACTGTAATCGAAGACAACTGTAATAAATATCCAAGGTCTTCTCTTTCCTTGGTTAAACATCCTCAGTTCCTTTACCCTACGGTAGTTTACATGGTGTGGTCTGAATTCCCTTTCCTATCCTGGCTGCACACTTCTAGGACTATCCCTACCCAGTGCTTCTTAAAATTGAGCATGCATTAGAATCACCTGGAAGGCTTATGAAAACACAAATAGCTGGGTCTTACTCCCAGAGTTCCCGATTTAGTAAATCCTGGGTGAATCCCATGAATATGCATTTTAAAGATATCCCCAGGTGATGCTGATGCTGCTGGTCTGAAAACCACAATTTTAGAACCACTGCTCTAACCCCTCAATCTTTCAACACCCGAACACAGTGGTCTCCACAGCCCAGTGAGGGGAGGACCTCACCTCATTCATTCTGATTTGAACTCTGTGAGTTCAGCCTTCAAACAGCATAAGCTCCCTGGTGGCCACCATCATGGTAGTGCTTTATAGAGGTCACAGTCAACCAGTCCCTATGAATACTTTTCAATACTGTTCCTAATGATTCAAATTTGCTTTGTATTTTACTTTAGTTAACAAAACAATAAAATGAAAGTATTTCAGAAAAACTTATCAATGTTATAACAGTGTAGTTTACCAAAATATTATGTTCTTAAACAAAATTATGCCCCTAAAATATATGCATTAAAAAATGTAAAACTTACCAGAAAAAAATTACCGCACTCAGAATCAGAGACACGGTCTAAATTTTGTTCCCATCACTATTTGCCCAATCGTGGAGTCCTTCTGGTTCTCAGGGACACCTTTGTGACAAGGATGTTATCTGGACTGGATAATGTCTACAGCACTATTTCTAAATTCCATTATTCTTCATTGCTTTTGCCATTTGTGTAATCCTTTTGCAATTAAACCAACCAATTGACAAACAAACCTACCCAACTGCTCTTTTCCCCACCCAGGGAGATAGAAACCAATGAATTCCTTATTTGACAATATGATCTTAGAAATATTTTTGCATTAAATGAAAAGTTTCCCTTGGTTTTTGTCTCCTACCTGAGGGGAGAAGGAAAAGGTCCTGTCCTGAGGATGGTCGGCTGCTGGAGCCAGGAGGTTTCGAATGTTCGATGAGACTATGCCTTGCAGGAGGTGGGGGAGGTGGGAGGGACGGGGGGAGGGCATCCAAAGCACCTTCACCTGCATTTAAAGAAAGGTCAGTATCAACAGCAGAATCTCATCAGTCAAAACACAGTATCAGGCCAAGTAATGATTGATTTTTCTCTTGCTGCTTATAAAGAACTTCACCTACAGTGTTTATCCAGATGTTCACCAACTTTGACAATGGGAGTTAATTATTTTGTGAGGAGTCTGGAGAGCAGCAAGCCAGACACACAAACACACATGTGCATGCACTTTCTCTATCACCCAGGTCTTTCTATGCAAAGCAGCACTGCAGGTCATGAAACTGCTTATTATTCACCTATGAACGTTATAATATTAAGACACTAGGATTTAGAACTAAAAATTATTAAGTCACACCATCAAAACAGATTCTTTGTGTAACAGCCTCTAATTAAAAATCACACTATGCACAAAAAATGTCATGTCACAGAATAAATTTTAAAGTTTATTCCACTAGATTTTAATTTACTAAAGCTAATGTTCCATATATTTCACTGTCAAAATATACAGCAACTACACCTACAGGAGAAGATGATATTTTTCTTCTTATAAGATATCTCTAAAGAGGATCAATTAAATACAGAACTACCTTTGTGGTCCCAAAGCTAGTTACTCGTAGTTGTATATTTCCCCGTTTTAGTAACTGCAGAGCACTGTAGTACGCTTTTGCTAATTTTCCCCTTGCCACATATACTGTTCTACTCATACTTCCCTTATATTTATTCTTTAGAAAAAATAAAATAGCCCGGCCGGTGGGGCTCAGTGGTTGAGCATTGACCCATGCACCAAGAGGTCGCTGGTTTAATCCCAGTCAGGGCACATGCCCAGGTTGTGGGCCCCATCCCCAGTGGGGAGCATGCAGGAAGCGGCTAATCAATGTTCTCTCTCATCGATGTTTCTCTCTCTCTCTTCCCCTCTCCCTTCTTCTCTAAAATCAATAAAGAAAAAAATTTAAAAATAAAGTTGCAATGTATATATTTTTTTGTGAGCAATGTCAAATACTTTGTGCATGAAACAGCATATAAACAAACACCTACGTATTCCAGTAATAAAAACTCACATGTATTTAAATTTACTGACAAATATAAAGGTATACTTAAATAGTTTTACCATTCATCCAGCTTGCCCTGCAAAAAATACTGAAAATATTTTCTCTAATGATCATAAATATTTTTCTAACTTAAAATATTTAAAGGTGTAGGAGAGGCAGTTCTGCTATCACTCCAACCTGCAGCTACCTCCTCGATTATCTATCTTATTCATTAAATCCTTTCTCAGCCCCCAAGTGTCAGGCACCACGCCAACTACATAGGTAATGTGAAGATCAAAATCATAAGGCCCTGACCCAAGGAGCTTAGATTTCACAAGGAGATCTAAGAAAAGTGCACAAATCCTTTAAGATGGAAGTCCCATGGGTTCCACAGAGAGAGAGATTCATTTTCAGAAGGAAGAGAAATGAAGAAATTGGCATTAAGCAAGGTGTTACCAAGAACAAGAAGGGCTGGGCTATCAGTGGCTGAGAAGTATTTGTCAAATGGGAAGATAGTGTCTGCTAGACAGGGTAACAGTGAGAATAAATCATGAGATGCACACGAGGAAGGTGGGGTTAAAGACAGGTGGGAACATTTGTCTGCATTGTCTAATACAGCAGTCATAATCCACACACAGCTATTCAGTTTAAATTTCACTAAGCTTCAGTCTCACCATCACACATGTGAATCTATAGATCCCTCCCATCGCCACATGGCATGCTATTGGGCAGTGCGGACCTAGATCCTGAAGACTTGGGTAATAGGTCAAAAATCCGTGGACAGGAAGAAGGGAGAAAAACACTATGTAAAGGAGGAAGTTAGAAGACTTGTAGCTCATGGAGGTGAGAATAAAGCACTGAACTACAGAAAGAACAGGCGAGGTTTCAAATGTAAAACAAAGAACAGGCAAGTTCAAGACCCTGCAATAGAATAACTGGAAACACTGGTTGCTGGTGTTTGAGGAAAAAAAGGTTCATTTCACATTTCTGGTAGTCTAATAATTCAGATAAGCTTATAAATGGATCTTCAGCACACATCATTTTACATTACGGTGACTTGTTATTGTGAAGCCTTACTGTGTGTGAAGGTTCTAACTGTCTTCCTCTACAAATAGGGTAAGAAGCTTCCCACCTAGAATTAATAGATAAACACCGACAGCCAACTTGTACATACACGCCTGTGTGTACCTCCACACACGTTCACACACCAAACACACAACAGTATACTTCTTCATATTAAAATTTGAAACAAAGAAATTTAGATTCTTTGAATGTAGTTTTTGCAGTGATTATAAGACAGAATTTATTCTCAGCTCTCTACAATAAAATATATCATTTTCCATAACGTAACTAAGTGGGACTGGGCCATTTAAACGCTGAAAAAAACAGTACACATTCATTAAGGATTGTACTTAAAGAAAATCTCAGATGAACACTTCAAATCTACTAGAACACAGGTGCCTGAACAATGCTCTTGTAGGTTTCTTGTAGACTGCACTTAATACGAAGATACAACTTGATAAAACTCTGACTGACGGCCAGCTTTTTACATCACTGCTTCAGTCATCTGAGTGGAATGATGGCCACATGAACTGGAGTGCTACCATCATCAGCTGAAGAATCCATTCTAATTCAGACAGCTTCATAACCTAGTGAGTGTGCATTACACTGAACTCTGATTTCTGACCATTCAGATACGAAGTGCAAGAAGAGGCAGGGTGGCTCATTAGACACTTTTTTTTTAAAGGTTTCAACCTAATGGAGGGATGAGAAGATCATAATCAGAGGGCGTCCTGTTGAGCGAAGAACCATGCTTTGCATTGTCCCGAGCTGGAGGCCTGGCAGGTGGCAATGGCACTGCATCAGAAGCTGAATCAAAAACATCTCCTAGAGGAGAACACAAAACCTTAGTGTATTTTCAATTCAACATTGGTGTGGAATTTTGCCTTTAAATTCTGACCATTCAGATGTAGAACACAAAGAGAATATGTATTATACATACCCTTTAAATATATGCCTAACTCAGGGATGTTTGATTTCTTCATCTCTGAAGGTGTACCATGTGTTCCATTCAATATACAATGACCATTATCATAAGACCTAAAGCAGAGATCAGAGGATAAAAAGCATAAGGATAATCACTTTCCATTTAAAAGACATTTGGGAGGGTGACAGGAACTAGCAACCCAGCTCATACAATAAAGTTTGAAAATAAATGTAATTAAGTTGCTTTTCTGGAAAAAGTACAAGTAATGTTATCTAGATACTCTTACTCAAATATTTTTACAAAGCAGAAGTGTCCCACTGAAGACAATCTCTTTATCTTAAGTGAAACCAAGAATTACAATGTTCACAAAAATTGTTGCTACTTGAAACACATCTTTGAAATTAACATGTTTTGAAAGAGTTTACTAATATTTTGTCAAGTTTTTGAAGAAGAAAATGTAATAAAGCAAAAAGTATGTTAACAGCCCCAATGATTTCATTATATGTTGATGGTATTTAACATAGATTATTTCTGTAACTTAAGGTTTCCTTATAATAAACTAGAGCCCATCAGAGATGGAGAATTATTAGGTGACCAGTAACTGGCCAGTTTGGCTCAGTGGATGGAGCATCGGCCTGCGGACCAGAGGGTTCCGGGTTCGGTTCCCGCTAGGGGCACATACCAAAAAATAAAATAAAATAAAAAAATAAAATTCTCATAGGCATATTCAAAGCCCGAGAGGCTATTGTCTAACGTCGCCGCTGCTGTGAACAAAGCGCTGTCACTCTGAGTCTGTACAAAATGACTCCAGTGAAAGTCTTGGGTACACAACAAGCATTTTGATCTAGGTGTCTATAAAGGAAAATACTTACTAAAAAGTATTTTTGCTGTTGAAACCATACTATGCACACAGTGGATAAATCGGGGGTATGGGAAGCCAGCAGCCGGAAGAGGAGATACAGAGCATGGTCTGTCTTCAGAACATAGCCACGTAACAATGAACTCTGATCATCAACTTATTCTGCTCACAGAGAGCTATATAGAAAGCAGTTTATATTTTACTTTTCTCTAATTTACTCTGAATTCTTGGGGCAAAGTAGAAGTACATACATAATGGAGGAGATAGTGGATATTTGAATAGTTATTGCAAGAATGCTTCATCTGAAATTCATTTCCATTCTCTCTGGTGGCCACCTCTCTTCAAGGGGCCAGAGATACTTCATTTTAAAATAGTTAGCATGTATTGAATTTTCATAATAATGATGGATTTTTACTGAAACTGCATTGAATTATTTATGACTGTTTAACTTTTCCCACATATAGACAATTTACTTCTCCTGATGATCCAAAGGGTAGTGGGGAACAGAGGAGAAAGAACTGTTTAAGCTTGAAGAGTGCTTTGGAGAGGACACAAGAAGATACTTCATCCATCAGCTTCCAAGAACAAATTAGATAAAAAAGGCACTCCAATTAAGTTTAGGGATTATCAACATTTATTACTTCTCTATAACAGTACAGAGACGGTAATGGTGGTCATAATTTAAATTTATTTTCTAGATTTGGGAGGCCTGCCACCAAACAGTTCGTCCAATATAATGTGAAAAATAAAATTTAAAGTATTAAAATTATACTCCTCACTTATCCAGCAATGAAAAATAACGAGATACTATGTAGACAAAAAAAGCTCATCTTATTCCAGTTTTTAAAAAGTACATTTGTAAGAATCAAAAGCACTGAAAATTTTAAGTTTGTATTTGATGTAAAGTAATAACTTTTTGCTCTAATAAGAGAAGTAGAAATTTGCAAATGGCATCTCAGTTATTTCTTTGTCTTCTCAATGACACTATTTTAGCAACAAATGTCTTCAACACCAGCAATTAGCAATAAATACTTTGGTTCTTGCTTTGAAATATGAAGCCCTGGACTTCAGATTGTTAATAATCCCAGTTAATGACTCTGCAGAGCGTTGATAATTCTAACCAGGATCACTCATTAAGACAGATCTCTGGCTAAAAGGAAGATCTGCTTTTCTTTTCTAAGCATTGCATTTTCTACTCCAGTATGCTACTCCAAGAAATGCCTTAAAACATTTTTAGATTTCTCATCTGAAAAGGGAACACTACGCACATAAAATGCTTTCCGTTGATTGACTTGACCTCAAAAGGAAATGGAACACTAAGTACAGATGACACAGATGATTGAAGTGTTCAACGGCTCTGCTCTCTCAATCAAGAGACAATGGAAGGCAGAGGCTGGGCCACCAGCAGTTCCATGAACAGAACATATTTTATGTTCCCAGCATTGCTCCAGGGATGTATTTGCAGAAAGAAAACGGGGGATTAAAGAGTTTTTGAAATTGAGAATTCACTGAGTACCTCAGATACGCCTGTCTTAAAAAAAAAAAACAACAATAATATTGTATTATGGTTTACTACTTCAGTTATATGATTGCAGAATCATTCTTCTACCTAAAGGCAAGCCAGTATTTAAGTACCCCCCCATCCATTTTTAATAACCCTCACACACCTCAATGGAGCTGCTACGTCAGAGATCAAGAACGTCTCCATTAGAGTGAGAACAAATGACTGACAAGAGAAAACACTATGCCTCACATTCTTATTGGATCCAAGCACAAGTAAAATAGATAGTACCTGATAAAAAGCAGTGAAGAGAAAGAATTTTGGGGTGTTCTTTTTCATCAAGATCTGAGTAGAAGGAGGTAGCACATCGACATGGGAAATGAATATAAGTTATACTCATCTTTATGTCATGAAGAAAAATTCTAAGGATGGCTGGCATAATACCTTCGTTTCTAAGCACTAATTTTTCTTCATGAGATAAGTACTTAGAACTGATATAATGGATAATGATAGTTTATTGAAAAATTCAGGAATCAATCACCACCACAGGTACAGCAAAGTTTGTCAGAGCACAGTTTGTTCTTTGGACGAGCTGCGCAACCAAATGTCCCAGTAGACTTACCAGTCAACCAATTTAGTTAAATGACTTCCTGAAAAATCTGTATCTTTTAGTTTTTTTCTGCAAGTAACTTAGAAAACAGTATATAGAAAGAAGAGGCTTTGAGCAAGAAATCAAGAATTTTTAATAAACATATGATTTAATTGTTTATAGATAACCACTACAAATGATCATGTTTATGCAGATGAGAAGTGATTAAAAAGGTGCCCACATTCTTACCTAAGAGGAGGTTTTACATTATGACAATGAGATGGTTGTGAATTCAGGGAAACAGGATGGGATGAAGGAATCTTATATTCATCGTCATCTTCCTCCACTGGGTCTCTTGTTTTCTCTGAAAGAGAATTTGCTAATGGACCAGTACACCTACCAGAAGGGAAAAAAAAATCCAGTCTAGTATAAGCATAATAATTTAGAACAAGTAAGTCTGATGTGACATATTCAAATTAAAGGAGCTACTTTGTCATGTATTCCTTTTTCATTTACAAGGTAACATCAGAAGCCTGTTCTTATGTGAAATACAAATGAAAAAATTTTCAATCTTTTGTTAAGACTCTATTGATGAAATAAGAGGATTGTTATAATTTTAAATGGCATAGTACAAAAAACTAGTAACCTGTCAAATAAAATTATCTTGAAGTTGTAAGAGAAAATGCATACAATTATTCAAACCAAAGCTACTAAAATATTAACATTTTTGTCCCAATTTAACTTAAATCAGTACATTTGGTGATTACACACACACACATATATGTATATATATGCATGATAGTTTCATATATTAATTAAATTCTTATAGAAAGGACAAATTCTGTCTCTTGTGAATATTACCTATAGTTGAAAAAATAATTCAATTTAATTAAATGAAGCAATTCTTCCTCCTATGAAGTCATAATTCAGATTGTTAATGCCCCCCCAACAATAATTAAGAACTAAAATGATGGGAATAATTAGATAATGAGAGAACTAATTAAGATGTTGAGGTATACAGTACAATATTTTTCTGTGTTAAGTTTCCCAGATGAAAATGAGTAAAACAATCACTAAAAACAAAAAGTTTAAGCATTTCACTCATCCATGAGAGTAAATAAATAAAACAAAGCCAAGCAAATTGCTGTTTGTCACAGTTGTTGCTGCTGGAGCTTAGCAAGGGCTAATAAAAGAGAAAAATACCAAATTAAAAACGCACAAACCTATCCTGATCAACTTTAGGACAACCAGCCAGTTTGCAAGACAATGGAGATACATATGGGGCCAGAGCTTTTTGTCAATTATCATGAACCTCATGACAAATCTATTTCATTACATTAAAAAAAAATCTTTGTGACTGCAATTTTGAAGCACCTTCTGTAGAGGGAGCAAGAGGCCTTTGGTATATTAGCCATCAAGCAAGCCTGAAATAACTTTTTCATTTTGATCTCACTAGTCAGAATGAAAACAATTTTAAAGGCTTCCTTTGTGCCCATTACAAGAAGATGTTTCGAAAACCTGAAGATTTTCAAGTTTCAATGATATAACTGAGTCTCTAGGAAGTTCAAAGATGAAAAAAAAACTTCCTCTAAGATTTTTCAAAAGTGTATTTTTACCCATCTTTGGAGGCTTTTTCAATACTGATTTTGAATCTTGTTTGTTTGAGTGACCTTGGAATCAAACGACAGTGCATGGTGGGATGAAAGCACAGTGAGGCAGTCACAGAACACAGCCTGACAACCTCATTAATAAACTAGGGCTCACCCTTCCATGGGATAATCTTGGAAGATGTACATTCCAAATGAAGGCCGTGAGGTTATGGACTACACAGCGATGACTTGATTAGAGCAGGGATTTCAAACATTACTTTTACAAACTCTTATAAACATGAATATATCAATTTAGCTAACTCAAGGACCAGAACGGGTTCTATTAGCAAATGAAATGCGAAAAATATATATCCTTTCTCTGCCTTAATATACTTCCACTCATAATGAAACTTTTTCCTATGCAATTCCAATATATACTGTATGAAAGAATAAGACCTATTCACGAATAAAACTTAACAACTGCACCAATGTCAGGAATATTCTACTACCTGCCTGTTACAGGTTCCCTCCAAGGTTTAAGTGTTTAAAGAAGCACTGCATTATGAGACTAAAACAGATTATTTTGAAATCGTGTTTGTTGTGGCTGACCCTGTATTTCTCTTCAGTGATAAAGAATTTCATCTGGCCGGTGTGGCTCAGTGGCTGAGCATCGACCCATGCACCAAGAGGTTGCCAGTTTGATTCCTGGTCAAGGCACATGCCCAGGTTCCAGGGCCGATCCCCGGTGGGGGGCATGCAGGAGGCGGTCAATCAATGTTTTCTCTCATCGATGTTTCTCTCTCTCTCTCCCTCTCACTTCCTCTATCTCTAAAATCAATAAAGGGAAAAAAATTCTTTTTAAAGAATTTCACCTGTGGAATTTCCCCTCCTCTTTCTCTTTGCTGTGAATCAGCAGAGGGAGTATTTTTGAAGGAAACAAAAAACAAAGCAGGGAAGGCCAGGCACATGACAATGTAGGGTTCCAGGAAATCTCTGTCCATTCTCAATTTTGCTCTGAATCCAAAACTGCTCTAAAAATAATAAAGTCTTAATAAAAAATATAATGGAAGAGGAAGGTACAATTAAGATAAAGGAGTATACAAAATACCAACAGAGAAATCTCAATTTGTGCAATTACAATATGTGTAATTATATGGGAGATTTTTTTTCTCTTCACAAACTAATTCAAGATGCAGGTTCAATTTAAATTGCAACTAACTAAGTGGTAAAATAATTAGTTTAAGAATTTTCATTAGCAGTCATGTGTGTTTATTGAAAATAATCTAACTTTGGGACATGGGAAAATTTTCAGCCACTGATTTAGCTTATTTAGAAATGTTTGGAAACCAGAGGAATAAAATGAAGTGAATTATATTTGGCTGGTTCCAAGTTAAAGCTGCTAAGTAAAGCATCCTCCCACTTACACCTACAACTTCATTTTCTTTCTATGATCATCACACATTCGAGGAGTGCACTGTGTCTGTCATCACTGAGTTAATCCACCGGTAATACACACGGACACACACTCCCAAAGGTGCTCAGCCCTCCTCGCTACCACCAGCACCTCTTGTAAAATTCACTGTGTGTTAGTTATTTGAGCCTTCAGTAATACATTCCATTTTCTGCATGTGCACATTTGAAACAAACGAAGAATATATGACCTAACACTATTCTTCATTCATGATTTTTACGTTTTGAAACTGAAGTCTGACAGGTGCATTCCTGTAGAGCATTCTACATTCCTGGTGGGCAAAAGTGGGTTTACAGTTGTGAGCATGTGAAGCAGAGTTTATCCTTGTATTATTCTTTATTAAGGCATTATTTTCCATATGAACAACTGTAAAGTAGTTTTGCCCCACCCTGTATAATGGGTGAGGTCACCTTCTATATCTCCCATTGGCTTTACCTAAATAACATACTTCAAACATCACCCTACCAAGTTCTTTCCTTTCCTTCATTTGAACAAATCTATTTTTTACTGAATTTACTGAGGTGACATTGGTTAATAAAAATGATAAAGCTTTCAGCTAAGCAATTCTTAATACCTCAATTAGTCCACCAACTTTCCAAAACAGAAAAAAAAGCAAAGTAGAAACACCCATCTTTATTTTCTATACATGAACCTCCTGTGACATTGCCCATGACACAATCATTTCATTTCTGTTGTATTTATTATATGCTTGTCCACTGACATTCTATTTCTTATGTATTCATCTATGTCTCTCTTCTGTTTCTGTCCTAAATTGCAAAATATTTAAGTGTGGACCCTGGGTGAACAAGGGCCTGCCATGGTAGCTGTCCAGGGTAGTGTTCACAGCTTCCAGAGGAAAATAATGGTTGGCCCTGGCTTGCTCAGTGGTTAGAGCGTCGGCCTGCAGTCCAGAGAGATCCGGGTTCGGTTCCTGCTAAGGGCATGTACCTTGGTTGCAGTATGTCCCTGGCCCTGGTTGGGTCGTGCAGGTGGCAGCCACTCTAGGTGTCCCTTTCATATCAATGTTTCTCTCTCTCTCTCTCTCTCTCTCTCTCTCTCTCTCTCTCTCTCTTCCTAACTCTCCCTCCCACTCTATCTGAACAAAAAAAAAAAAAATGGAAAAATGTCCTCGGGTGAGGGAAAAAAAAAATTAATAGAGAAATACACGACCTAGCCATTAAGGGAAAGAGAACAATCATTTTAAGAATCCTTTTATAATCTAGAAAAGCATTTTAAATGATATATTGTTTTGCTTGTTTTCAACTTTAAGATTCTGTATTTAAGAATATCAGAAGACAACTTATTTAAAAAATCCTTTATGAAAACTAAATCCTTAGGGCCTGCAACATAAATAAATTATTCCCTACTTTTTGTAACTATCCCAATCCTGACAGAGAGACTATCTAACTGGGAGAGATCACAATTCAGAAGTGGCCAAGAGCAAATACCGCCGTATTTGAGATGGTCACATGGGTGCCACGTGTACATCATTTCCCCGACACATCTGAGTCAGGTTTCCAATGCACACACTTATATTAAGGGTTCTTTCATGACAGCAGTGTGGTATATTATTAACTTTAATACGTTTTAATTACAAGCATTTTCACTGGCTTGTTTTTAAACCGGAGAAACAAATTTCACGTTCCATTTTTAAATTAGCTTATTCAGGACCAGTATTACTTCCAACACTGTTAGGGTCTGTTTTAGCAATCAAAAACTTGCACTTTCTTGAGAATCTAATTTTCCAATACATATTGAACATTAAAGACTTCATGATGATATTTAAAGTGGCATTAGTTGCAATAGCCCAAAAATGGAAACAACCCAAAAGTTCCTCGTGGAGGTGTGTTTACTATGGAAGGTGTACTCGGAGCAGTAAAAGGAATAAACTGTTGATGGACCTGACAACTTGGATGAATCTCAAATGCATTGTGCTCTCTAGAAAGAAGCCAGATTCAAAAGGTTATACACTGTATGACTCTATTTATATGACCTTCTGGAAAAAGCAAAATTATATGACATAAATCAGATTGGCAATTTCCAGGGGTTTGGGGTGAAATGAGAAATTCAATAAGACAATGGGGTATGTTTTTTGAGTGATGAATTACTCTCTTTGTTGATCATGGTTATGGTGATTACATTACTATGCATTTGTTAAAACTCACAAAACTGTACATTAAGCATGGTGAGTTTTACAGTATATAAATTATACTTTATATACAACTGGAAAATTGTTATTTTCAAATGAAAATTATTTTAACTCATTTAAGATATCGCCATAAGCATCTTTCACAAACAAATATGCGCAATATTCTTGGTGGCCTTCCAAACATTAT